CATTGCACCAATATCCCAAGATCAGGAACAAGGATGAGTGGAAAGGCAGAAAGCACCTTGCTGCCTCTTGGATTATCTCTAATGAGACTTCGCGGAAGTGACACACAACACTCCCATTACGCATCTGGGCCAGTTTGTCACTACAAAGAGGCCGAGAAATGTCATCTCAATAGGTGCCAAATAAGATTGGTTTCTTACCAAGGCAGAGGGTGAAATGGGCGTTGGTAGGCTAGCCCCGCAGGAGGGCGAAGGGGAGGAGGCCTCTGGGGGGACATTAGAGCTGAAACCGGAAGGACCTCTGAAACTTCGCGGCCCCTACCCACCCTTCTAGCCCTGTCCGAGCCCATCTCCTGTCCGGGCCCTGGCTCCCCTGCCCTGACACTGGCTTCCTCACTATCCTGGGTATGCCGGGCTCTCTCCCCTCAGGACCTCTGCAACTGCTGTTCTCTCTGGCTGGAATACTCTTCCCTACATACTGCACGGCTCCTCCTTCTCCTCCTCTGGAGGTTGCTCCAGTAATACCTTCTCCACAAGGCCTTCCTTGACTACCTTACTTTATTTTATTTATTTTATTTTATTTGTTTATTCTTCTTCTTCAATTTGACAGAGAAAGAGAAAAGGGGAGAGTGAGGAAGCAAGCTGCCAGGTCCGGGACTTGAACCGTAGTCAACCATGTGGGAATCCGGCACCTTAACCACCATGCCACCAGCCGGCCCAGTTTATTTCATTTTTTGTTTGTTTCTTCTTCTGTCAGCAAGAACAAGACAACCAGAGGGACAGCACCCCACACAGGGCCTTCATGGGTCACAGGGCCGCAGCCAGCTCTGGGTCACGGACATGCATGTATGTGCCTGGCGTGTTTAGGGAGCCCCCTGGACATACACGCAGAGCCTTCCCTCACGGCTCAGCCTCACAGAGATCAGACCTGGCCCCTGTGCCACTGCCCTGGCCTGGCCGGGCGTGGCCCGCTCTCCCCTCCGCTGTCCCTTACTGCCGGCCGGTGTGGCAGCTCCTACGTGCTTCGCTTGCTAATTGCTGTTTGCGCTGGCCTGCTCCTCACGCGGCCTGGTGCCATCAGATTCACTGCCTCGGTGGTGTCTGGAGCAGTCCCTAGCGCGGGAGAAGGTGCTCAGGAAATACTTGTCAAATGAACGACTGTCACAAGTGTCAAGGGCTGACCTGGAGCAGGGACGCGAGCGTGCTGAGACAGGACACAGGCCAGGAAGGCACAGAGCCCACCCCAGGAGGACCGCCTGTGCCGATGGCCGTGTGGCCCCCGCCCGCATGGTGGTGCCGGTGCAGGCGCCCTCCCAGCACTCCGAAGGTGGCCACTGTGATGGCCACAGCCACAGGGTGGCGTCCCTCCTGTGAGTGTCCATCTGAACGGCTACTGACGGGGAGGAAGGTGAGCCAGGCCAGGGCCTAGGGCTAGGAAGGCCCGATTTCCCACACAGACCACGGAGTACTGGGGGAGTGTTCCAGATGGAGGGAAGGGCGCGTGCTGGGGGTCTGAGGTGCGGCACGGCGGAGCCAGGCTTGGTGGCACGCGCCTGTGTGCCCAGCTTCTGTGGAGGCTGAGGCAGGAGGATCGGGAGTTTGAGGCCAGCCAGGGCGACGTGGTGAGATCCTGTCCACAGAAAACACATTTTAAATGTAAGTTGTCAGGGGAGTGCGGACAGTGGTGAGGCGATGCTCCATGAGGCTGTCATGGGACGGTTCTGGGTTCACATCCCAACGCCTCCTGAGCGACCAGGCATGTGTGCCCTGACCTGGGGCTGACCAGGCTGGGAGTGGGACAGGCAGGAGGGCTCTGCTGGGGCCTCTCACTCGCTCGCTCTCGAGAAAGAAATCAACAGGGCCAGCAGGTGCTGTGACTCCAGCATGGTGGTGGACGTCCACATGGCTGACCGTGGTTCAAGTCCCAGAGCCGACAGCGTCTTTTCTCACTTCCTCTCTCTCTGTCTCTCTCTGGAGAGCGCATGTGCCCTATAGCAAAATTTAAAACTAATAGTGGGGCCAGCAGGTGGTGTAGCATTTAAGGCGCTGGACTCCCACGCAGTTGACCGTGGTTTGAGTCCCAGGCCTGGAGGCTTGAAACTCACACTAGGTACATGTGCGTGCATGCCCAAAATCCCAAGAGGAGAATGGAAGAGAAGGGATTGCGGCATGGACACCCCTCTTAGGGGGTGATTTCTCGCTTTTTATCTCTGTCTCTCTGCAGCAAGCATACGTGCCCTATGACAAAAAAATAACAACTAAAAATCATAAAATTAACAGACATTTTAGAATTATTTTATTTAACTTTATTGATTTACTTATTTTAATTTGACCAGAGATGGACAGACTGAAAGAGAGAGAGGGAGAGGGAGAAAGCAAGCCGCCAGGTCGTGACCCGCAGCTGGCCGACGTGGCAGTCCGGTCCCCTTAACCACCACACCACCTGCCAACCACCAATATCAACAGACTTTTTTGAAAAAAAATTTTTTAAAGGAATTACATAATTTGATTTAATTCATTGTCATTATTTTATTTATTTATTTTTTAAGTTGACCAGTGAAAGACAGGGAGTGAAGGAAAATGAGAAAGCAAACTGCTAGGTTCAGGACTCGAACTGTGGTCAGTCATGTGGGAATCCAGCCACCTTAACACCACTGCCAGCCCCTAAAAAAAAAAAAGAATTAAAAAATTTTTGTTATTATTATTATTTTTTAAAGATTTATTCATTCATTCATTCATTCATTTTAATTTGACCAGAGAGAGACACAGAGAGAGAGAGAGGGAAAGTGAGAAAGCAAGCTGCCAGGGTTGGGAATCAAACCGCGGTCGGCCATGTGGGAGTGTCCAGCACCTTAACCACCATGCCACCTGCTGGTCCCAAATTTTTGTTATTACTTTTGATAAATTTTTATTATAGGGCATATGCGCTCGCCAGAGAGACAGAGAGAGAGAGAGACAGAAAGCAAGACATTACCCCGCAGGGGAGATGGCCAACTGCAATCTCTTCTCCTTCATTCTCTCCTTGGGATTTGGACATACATGCACGTGGACCTCCTGTGAGTCTCAGGCCATCGGGTCCAGGACTCAAACCGCGGTCAGCTATGTAGGAGTCCAGTGTTTTAACCACAGTGGCACCTGGTGGCCCCGTTATTTTTCTTTAACTTTGTTACAGGGCACATGTACTCACCAGCGAGAGAGAGAGGAAAAAGCCAGCTGCCAGGTTTGGGACTCAAATTGCGGTCAGCCATGTGGGAGTACAACGCCTTCACCACCATGCCACCTGTTGGTCCCCAAACTAACGAACTTTTTTTTTCTTTAGAGAAAGAGATTTTTTTCTATAGGGCATGTGCGCTTGCAGAAGAGGCAGAAAGATGAGAAATCACCCCCCATGGGGATGGTCACGCCGCAATCCCTTCTCCTCCATTCTCTTCTTGGGATCTTGGGCACGCACGCACACACACCCAGCATGAGTTTTAAGCCACCAGGTCCAGGACTCGAACCTCAGTAGGCCATGTGGGAATCCAACGATATAACCATTGCGCCATCTGCTGGCCTTCAAATTAACAAAGTTAAAAAAACAAACAAACAATCAAACAAAACAACATCTGGAGGCCTAGACCCTGCAGCTACAGTGCCTGGGGACGGGCCGGCCCTCGGGAAGCTTCTGTGTCGGGGTAGACACAGCTAGCAGACGGGGCTGTTTGGGATGGAGATACGCACCGTAAACAGGACGGGGTGGGCTGGCTCTGTATGGGTAGAGGGCCAGATCCTACCTGGCCGGCCGCGGTGCACATCCCAGCCCTGGTGGCCTCACGCGTGCACGCCCCAATCCCAGCAGGGTCGAGAAGTGGAGAAGGGATCTGGCATGACCACGCCCCTTCGAGGTGCTCTCTCCTGTCTCTTTCCACCTCTCTGGCAAGCGAGCACACCCTCTAGCAATTCAGAGACAGCAAAGAACACAGGGTAGGGAAGCGCAGTGGGCAGCGCTGCAGGGGTGCAGCACTTGGAGAACTCGTGGCACTGAGAGAGCTGCAGTGGGGACAGACACTGTCAGGAGACGGTGAGCCAGGGTGTGAGGGGTGGGGGGCGGGCAGGAAGAGGTGACAAGGCCCAGGGGCAAGCAGAGATGAAGGCAGGTCGGGCCACACAGGATGACTGCAGTTGGAGCCTGAGGCGGGTTGTTTTTAGGTTTTTACTTATTTCTTCTATAAGCAAAGGGAGAGCCTGAGGCGGGTTGTTTTTAGGTTTTTACTTATTTCTTCTATAAGCAAAGGGAGAGACGGTCTTGGCCATCCTACTCAGGGAGGTGTGGACCAGAGCCCAGAACCTTCCACTGTGGGGCAGCCTCGAAGAGCATTGTGTTTTCCGTCTGTGTCACCTCCCGGTCCCCCATGAGACAGGGTTCTTGTGCAGCAGTTTGCCAAGGGGGAGCCTGCAAGGCCGTGAGGGAGAGGAAGGGCAGTGAGCAGGGTCGTTGCAGGGCCTTGGGCCGCTGCCATCCTGGGGTGGGGGTGGGGGTGGGGGAGCCCTGCAGCGTGGCTGACCCCGGGACCAGTCCTGTCTGCACCTTCACACCCACAGGTGGGCCGCGGCTGCCCCTGGACGGGTCGACTGCTTGCAGGGGTGACCACACAACGGGGTTCCCAGAGAGGGCCCTATAGACCAGGGGTGGGAATTTTCGAAATCTCTGCCCCTTGTGTGGAAAGCAGACCGGGAGCAGGAAGGTGAGAGCGGCAGAGAAGAGGCCTGCAGCTGTCCGGGTAGCCATGGCAGGGCCCTGGGCAGGGTGGTGACAGGAGCCAGGGACTGCGGGCCCAGGAAGCAGAGCCGACCGGGCAGCGGGACGGCTGTTCTCTTCCTTCTCCGCTTGCCCAGCTCTGGGCCCCTCCCCGGTGCCCGGAGGCCTGGAGGAGTGGGGTGGCTGCCCCGAGGTGTGCGTCTTCATGCCCTGACTGGTCTTTCTCTGCTCTCTTTTCTCTCCTCTGCTGACCGCCACCCCAAAGTCGAGCTTCGACCCCCACCACCGCTCCGGGGGGGGGGGGGGCAGCATAAGGGGAGCGGGGGGGGCTTGGAGCTGTTCCTGCTTCCACGCGTGACCCCCGCCACGGGGTGGGCGAGCTGGGGGACGGTCTCAGGCTCTGACCTAGACAACTGGGTGTTGCTGCCCCGCCCGGGTGACTTGAGCTGCCCCTGCTGCTTCGCCCGCTGGGCTCCGTTTAGGCCTTCATTTTACAAATGTTCGCTGAGCAGCTACTGCATGCCAGGGCCTGACCTCCCTGCTGGGCTGCCCGCGAGCAAAGCTGAGCACGTTTTGCCCTCGCGGGTCGCCTAGCAGGGGAAGAGCG